TCACTTTTTTTTTTTGCTTGTAAATCAATAATTTCCAATGAAAACAAGGTATTTTTTCATTATGCAAACAAAAAGTAATTGTATTTTTAAATCACTTTATAAAAAATTAAATTTAAATATATTTGGTCATATATCAAATTATCATCATTTAGTGGCAATCAATCAACTGTAATCGTTGAAATAATAATGATAGCAATGATTGAAAATTTCATGCTATAAATGATTTTTTTTTTCTTTTTTTTTTTTTGATTGACCAGTGCGCAAAAATGATCTGAGATATATTCATTAAAAAGTGAGATAAACTGAAAGAAATTAAAATAAAAGCATGATGAAGCTGAGCAGCTAATGAAAGTTAAATGAATTATTTTTAATCAGTAATTAGTAATTAATCACAATCAGTAATTCTATAATCATCAGTAAATGTAATCAGTAATTAATTATAATTAGCAATCATATTAAAATAAATGAACCACAAAAATTTTATGAAACTTTGAAAGTACTTTTTAGTTCAGATAGTTACTTGCTTCTCACAGATAAATTTTCCATTCTCAACCGATGATGAAACTGAATTTTCTTCCAATCCGTTTTCAGTTAAGGAATGCACAATTTAGCATTGAACTGAACGTAATCTCACCTCGGAGCAAATTTCCCATAAAATTTTTAAAGTTCTTATGAGAGAAAATTGATGATTGATTCGATCAAAACAAATTATAGATTCAGAAACTGTTATCAAAGAAGAGAATTTCTTGTAGTAAGTTTGAACAGAAACTTTGATATATTTAGACAATAAATAGGACCAATCGAGCAGAATATCAATTATTCATGAATTTCAGCAATCACAGAAGATACTTCGAAGCTACAAAAACAGTGGCAAAGTGATTCTCATTTTCTAATATAAACCGATGCTCTGAGCATTTTCAAACATTCTTCAGTGCACCTTTATAATTAAAGATACATCAGTTCAACACATCACTCAGGAACCAGTGAAAACTCAATTGAATGTAACTTTCAGTTTGAAGACACTCTGAACGCTGCACAGCAGATGAAATCTGCCATGAACCTAGGCTTCAAAACATTCCTATGCGAATGCTTCCAAAATAAAAGCTGAGCATTTGCTTTAAATACCTCAACTTGTTATGAGTTATAAATAACAAGGCAAGCCATTATCGAATTTCCACAGTTATTTATTATTACCTCTTATAAGAAAAAAGGAGACAAGTCCGGTTGGTCAAACTTGAAGATTACATATTATCCGTCAATTGCAGCGATCGATTGTTTACAATTTCAAACATTCATACTTCAATTTGCTATTTCGTTAAGCAATTTATAATGCAAAGATTGATCTTGTGGCAGCGTCTTTTTATTTAATTTGAACAACCTAATATTTAACATTATTATTGCCATTTTCTTATTATTTATAATAATTATTAAATTTTTTCTTATATTTTTGTATTTACTTTAATACTAAACAGAATTCTTTACTTTTTATCTGCTATATTGAAAAATTAAGTTCTTCCACAGTGTAATAATTTGGAAATATTGAAGATTTTACTTTTTAAATGACATAGATAAGATATAAAAAATAATAAGCAAAAAAAAGGAACGTTTTGTTGTAAAACTGTCATAAAATGATTAATTTTTTTTCATTAATTTTAGTAACTATTTACAATAGAAAGTCTGAACAATAATGTTTATGATAGTCAATCATTGATTCCAGGAATGATTTGTTGTATTTAGATGATTGCCTGCTATTTGGAAATGTAATTTAGATTCAAAATAACGGTGCAAATCGATTGCATTTGCTACATTGATTTCTAGCTTTATTCAGTTTATAGAGCAAAAAAGCTTTCCGTATCATTGTATTGTATTTCGGTGCCTTCATATAAGTTTTATCAATTTTAGATTATCATCGCTTACACAACGGTCGTAATTCAGCTATAGCATTGCATTACAAAAGAAAATGTAAATTATATGAAATTTATTAAAATGTAATAATTCTGAATAAAATAAAATGTTCATTTAAAAATCAAACAAAACAACTTTGTATATTGCACAAAGCATAAAGTAACAAGTGGAGTGACCAATGAATTTTCAAAAATAACGTACAGATGCTCAATTATATACAACATGCACAAAATACTAGATAAGCAAATCAATATAAATATAGCATTTAATTTAATTATTATTTAAATACATTTCGTCCTCAACCTCGATGCATTCCCTCTCTTCCAGGCCTATACCTTGCTTCATGAATTGGTCCATTGCACAGGATGAAATCGGTTCCACTTTCGTCCTATAAAATTTATCAATGATCTGAACAATCTTCATTAATTAATTCAAACTGTCACGGAAAATAACATTAAAAACTATTATATTTGAATATAATCAAATAATTCCTACCACATTTGGATCAGGAACAAAAGCATAAGTTGGTGAATGTGAATTGCAACACTCTTCATTGATAATTTCCTCAATCATCCGCAAAGCTTTGCGGATATTATGCTCATATCCGTTGATTGTGAACGTGGAACTCTGAAATCGGCGTGGTAACATGAATTCTGTTTCAGTTTGGAACGCTATTAGAAGCGCCCGTTGATCCTCCACTCCAAGCAATAAATCGATCAGTTCAGTGGGGATCCTAAATAATGGAAATAGATTCAAATGACTGAAATTTGATTTTGAAACACTGCAAAATAGATGAAATTAGACTAAAACTTTTATTCACCTGAAACTTACGGCAGCTAATGTTGAGCATTCTATTTCCTGCTGCCGTTTTTGTTCCTCATAGCGAATCCGTTCCGCTATAAGGCGTGTTACTAAACTGGAATCCTCCTCCGATTGGAGTATCATTTCAATTTGTTGCGGAGAAGACTCAGTTTTCTGCTGCTAGAAAGATTAATATTACATTTGAATTTCATTGCCCGAGAAAACCAATAATGTAGCATACAATGAAATCTAAGTTTTAAAAACATTTTCATTCCAGAAATTCCAATGCATATGGATTTGTATATTGGTTAAGAAATTAATTTAGATGATAACAGTGGAATAACTCGAAGAGAGAAAAAAAAATTTAATTCTATAAACTTACTCGGAGATGCTCCTCCATACTTTTTTGAAATTTTGAAAAATTGAGTGAAATACTCATTGTTTCCAACGGACTGAAAAATAAAGTATATGATTCTTTTATGTTTTATTTCTAACTGAACAGAAAATAGTGATAAAAATAATTTGGGAAATAGGTCCTACAGATAATTTAAAGCGCTCGCCATATTACTTCAGAGATTTCAAAAGAAAGCAATTTTTGGGCATAAATGGAGAGAGATTAAGACGATGTCGACTTTGTATGCAATCTTTTTGACAATGACAAGTTGAAGAGTGAAAGTGCGTTTATATACTTCTAAATAGGCTCTGATTGACCTCATCAACACTGTGTTCTTTGTTGACTTCATCAGTTTTATGGATTAACTGAGGTGTGGGCGGGTCTCTTTGAAGATACCTCTGCTTCGGTTACTTTCCTTCCCAAAAGTTTTTGTTTCAACAAAGAAAGAAAATCTAAACATTTTATAATTTGCGATTGCAAGAGATTACAAAAATTGATTGCAACTTAGAATCAATCTTGTTGAGTCACTCAAACTTTGCTACGCAAAAATTATTCAAAATTTTAACGAATTTATCTTACATACTTATTTCAATGTAACTTCTATTTAAATTTAAATAGAATGAAGAGGTCAACCAACGTACTTTGTTATTCGGGGCCAATTACAACATATCTCTGAAGAGGTCAGCCAACGCACTTTGTTATTCGGGGTCAATTACAACATATCTCTGAAGAGGTCAACCAATAGATATCGCTCATTTACAGGAGGGAATAGACATTTTTTACTAATTTTATATAGTTCATTCTATTCATTCTATTTAAATTTAAATAGAAGTTACGAAATATGTGGTGGGAATCTATTTCAACAGTTTTAATTGTAACCGCAAATTAATGATTGGGCTCCAATTCGATCGATTATACATAAAATTGAATGCTTTTACTGTGAAAGAAAAAAATGAAACACTTCGGTACATTCTTTTGAAGGCATTTCATATACTTTAAAAGATAAATTTTTTGTGGTATGAAATTATAAAGAACAATTAAGTTGCAAACAACAGAATATTACCAAATATTGGTTTATTTAAATGGTTAAGAAGTATAATTTTTAAATTCAAATGATTCTTATTATCACTTAATTGCATCAACCTCATTTCTTTTTACTGTTTATAGTGGTCATTTTGCGTCAGTATATGCTGATGATAATTATAAAAAAATATATGAAGAGTGCAGGGGAATTTTTATTATATGCCAATAGATGGATCATAAATTATTTCTGTAAGAATCGAAAACAGTGCAATATTCGCAGAGTAAGCGACATTGAAATAAGTATGTAAGATAAATTCGTTAAAATTTTGAATAATTTTTGCGTAGCAAAGTTTGAGTGACTCAACAAGATTGATTCTAAGTTGCAATCAATTTTTGTAATCTCTTGCAATCGCAAATTATAAAATGTTTAGATTTTCTTTCTTTGTTGAAACAAAAACTTTTGGGAAGGAAAGTAACCGAAGCAGAGGTATCTTCAAAGAGACCCGCCTACACCTCAGTTAATCCATAAAACTGATGAAGTCAACAAAGAACACAGTGTTGATGAGGTCAATCAGAGCCTATTTAGAAGTATATAAACGCACTTTCACTCTTCAACTTGTCATTGTCAAAAAGATTGCATACAAAGTCGACATCGTCTTAATCTCTCTCCATTTATGCCCAAAAATTGCTTTCTTTTGAAATCTCTGAAGTAATATGGCGAGCGCTTTAAATTATCTGTAGGACCTATTTCCCAAATTATTTTTATCACTATTTTCTGTTCAGTTAGAAATAAAACATAAAAGAATCATATACTTTATTTTTCAGTCCGTTGGAAACAATGAGTATTTCACTCAATTTTTCAAAATTTCAAAAAAGTATGGAGGAGCATCTCCGAGTAAGTTTATAGAATTAAATTTTTTTTTCTCTCTTCGAGTTATTCCACTGTTATCATCTAAATTAATTTCTTAACCAATATACAAATCCATATGCATTGGAATTTCTGGAATGAAAATGTTTTTAAAACTTAGATTTCATTGTATGCTACATTATTGGTTTTCTCGGGCAATGAAATTCAAATGTAATATTAATCTTTCTAGCAGCAGAAAACTGAGTCTTCTCCGCAACAAATTGAAATGATACTCCAATCGGAGGAGGATTCCAGTTTAGTAACACGCCTTATAGCGGAACGGATTCGCTATGAGGAACAAAAACGGCAGCAGGAAATAGAATGCTCAACATTAGCTGCCGTAAGTTTCAGGTGAATAAAAGTTTTAGTCTAATTTCATCTATTTTGCAGTGTTTCAAAATCAAATTTCAGTCATTTGAATCTATTTCCATTATTTAGGATCCCCACTGAACTGATCGATTTATTGCTTGGAGTGGAGGATCAACGGGCGCTTCTAATAGCGTTCCAAACTGAAACAGAATTCATGTTACCACGCCGATTTCAGAGTTCCACGTTCACAATCAACGGATATGAGCATAATATCCGCAAAGCTTTGCGGATGATTGAGGAAATTATCAATGAAGAGTGTTGCAATTCACATTCACCAACTTATGCTTTTGTTCCTGATCCAAATGTGGTAGGAATTATTTGATTATATTCAAATATAATAGTTTTTAATGTTATTTTCCGTGACAGTTTGAATTAATTAATGAAGATTGTTCAGATCATTGATAAATTTTATAGGACGAAAGTGGAACCGATTTCATCCTGTGCAATGGACCAATTCATGAAGCAAGGTATAGGCCTGGAAGAGAGGGAATGCATCGAGGTTGAGGACGAAATGTATTTAAATAATAATTAAATTAAATGCTATATTTATATTGATTTGCTTATCTAGTATTTTGTGCATGTTGTATATAATTGAGCATCTGTACGTTATTTTTGAAAATTCATTGGTCACTCCACTTGTTACTTTATGCTTTGTGCAATATACAAAGTTGTTTTGTTTGATTTTTAAATGAACATTTTATTTTATTCAGAATTATTACATTTTGATAAATTTCATATATTTTACACTTTCTTTTGTAATGCAATGCTATAGCTGAATTACGACCGTTGTGTAAGCGATGATAATCTAAAATTGATAAAACTTATATGAAGGCACCGAAATACAATACAATGATACGGAAAGCTTTTTTGCTCTATAAACTGAATAAAGCTAGAAATCAATGTAGCAAATGCAATCGATTTGCACCGTTATTTTGAATCTAAATTACATTTCCAAATAGCAGGCAATCATCTAAATACAACAAATCATTCCTGGAATCAATGATTGACTATCATAAACATTATTGTTCAGACTTTCTATTGTAAATAGTTACTAAAATTAATGAAAAAAAATTAATCATTTTATGACAGTTTTACAACAAAACGTTCCTTTTTTTGCTTATTATTTTTTATATCTTATCTATGTCATTTAAAAAGTAAAATCTTCAATATTTCCAAATTATTACACTGTGGAAGAACTTAATTTTTCAATATAGCAGATAAAAAGTAAAGAATTCTGTTTAGTATTAAATTAAATACAAAAAAATAAGAAAAAATTTAATAATTATTATAAATAATAAGAAAATGGCAATAATAATGTTAAATATTAGTTTTTTCAAATTAAATAAAAAGACGCTGCCACAAGATCAATCTTTGCATTATAAATTGCTTAACGAAATAGCATAGCAAATTGAAGTGTGAATGTTTGAAATTGTAAACAATCGATCGCTGCAATTGACGGATAATATGTAATCTTCAAGTTTGACCAGCCGGACTTGTCTCCTTTTTTCTTATAAGAGGTAATAATAAATAACTGTGGAAATTCAATAATGGCTTGCCTTGTTATTTATAACTCATAACGAGTTGAGGTATTTAAAGCAAATGCTCAGCTTCTATCACATAGGAATGCTTTCAGTATAATTTTTAAATTCAAATGATTCTTATTATCACTTAATTGAATCATTCTCATTTCTTTTTACTGTTTTCAGTGGTCGTTTTGCGTCTGTATATGCTGATGATAATTATAAAAAAATATATGAAGAGTGCAGGGGAATTTTTATTATGTGCCAATAGAAGGATCATAAATTATTTTGAATTTAAATTTGACTCTTTGTTTGCAATTTCCATAAACAACTTAATTTCAAAAAAAAAAAAATTTAACATATTTTCAATACTTATGAAACATAGTTTATGTTCATTTTTCTAAACTATCTGACTCCGATTCACACAATTCATTTTAATTATTCATTAGAAGCTGTCGTTACGCACGATTACAGTTTCTGAAAATCACGGTTAACCCATCATTAAATCTATCATTGAAATTTTCTGGAATATTCTCAAGTAAATATGATAGAACGAATGATAGATAAGACGAAATTTAACATACTATTGCTTGGATGAACGAGGATTGATATGAATATTTATTTATGTCCGCTTTATTGATTGATCAATCTGTCCACGAAGTGAATAATTTCAAAAATTTTGTTGTTAGAAAGAATTCTTCCTTGCCATCTTCTGATCATCTTTGCCCTATTTGACTGGCAAGCCGTTGGCCAGAATGGGTGCAATTGGAAAATTTGTGTGGGACGTGGTATTTCAGCTGAAATAATTAGCTTTGCTTCATTTCTTTTCTGTCCTAAAAAGTCCTATGGCTAATGCTAATGCAGATAGCATCTCAAGTTAAATCTCACTGGAAGGAAACTATAGAAGCTATATGATTGAGAACCGATTTTCTGCATTTACCGCTTGCATAAATATAAAAGTAAGGAATTACGCTATCCAAATAAAAGACATTCAATGAAATTCAATTGACATCAAAATTTGCAAAAAAAAAAAAAATACAGTTTTAATAAAATAATACAAAGAAAGTCTTCAGAATAAAATTTTCGAGAAGAAATAATGTCGAAAATTCAGGATTTAATTTGAATTAGTGATGAGAAAATACATTGCATCCATATACATTTTTCTGAATTGAAAATATACGATGGCGTAAAGTAAAAAAAAAAAAAAAAAAAAAAAAAAAAATAGAAAAATATAATACATATAATATGCTGGAAAACATATCATACGAATGAAACTTAATGCAGCATTACTTTTTATCAAACAGTGATTTAACACTTTTGTGATTTAAATTTTAATGTGATAATGAAGTCACAAAATTTATTTTGAACTTAATTGAGATTTCATTCATTTCCGCATCCATTAGATACGATATAAAAATGTAACTCAAAATATCTGTCATAAAATCTAAAATCTGGTCTATTTCAACGTTTTTTTTTTAGAATAAAAATTTCAAGCTGATCAAGAATATCTCGAGTCCTATATCGAAAGAAATTCTGCATGCATCTAAATATAATTTTGAACAGAGAGATATGAAAAGTAATACAGAAATCAGCACTTACCGTATTGACTGACCAGTGATTGTAAACACTGAATAAAATGAAATGATTACAGCTTGGTATCCAAAAAATACTACTGCATTGCAAGATAATATCTAGCAATATTGATGATTTACTTTAGAATTTATACCTTAAAATATTATAACCTTTTTTCCCTAAAATTAAGTATTGTTAGCAACTGCTAACAATAATTAAATGAGCTAAATTCAATAAAATCAAACTAAGTAAAACAGTGTAAGAAATTAATACAATTCAATAAACATTTCAATCAAAAAGTTTGCCATTGAATGAACTGAAATTGAGATAATGAATAGAGAAAATTCAAGTAAGAAAGAAAAATCAGTTTTTAGACAAACTGCTAGTTTTACTTTTTGGCAATAAACATTCTGGAATAAGCTGGGATATTATCAACAATTTACAGTTTTTTTAAGTAGTTACCATACTTTTTGAGCGCTATAATCCCCTCATTCCAATTCAGTCACTTTATCGAGATAATTCAGAGCTAGAAAAGAATATAATTAATTGTTTTAACTTAATTATTCAAGCTAAACAGAAATGAGACAGTTTGATCAGTTCTTCCAGAATGATTAGTAGATATTGTTTTCCATTACAAATAATTTCGAAGCGTTAAAATATAAAAGAGAACCAGTTTTTTTAAAAAAAAAAAAATGAAACACTGAAAGTTGAAAAAAGTCAGCAAACCTTGAAATGCTCGACACCATTCCAAGCGTCAAAAGAATTTTGTTCACTGAATCTAAGATCGATGACAACACCAACTCACGACTATTCATTGAGATCTCAGTTATACTTGCAGCAAAAACGATCTCAAATTCAAAGATTTAAAAGAAGGAGAATTCATAAACAGAGCTTTTTTGGTTTTTTATGATTGAAAATATGGTCAAAAAAGCTTACCTTCTAAGCATTTGATGCAATTTGTTTAAAAATTTTGACCTGCAAATTGAATGACATCAAAAGGTACTGAGTAGAAATAAAATTAAATTGCATGCAGAAAATAAATTAGCAAAGTGATACAAAAAATTAATAACACTATTTAATAAAACACGATTATTTAATAAATACCAAAAAGGTATAAAACATGCAAAGATATGAAAAACTTTACTGTGGATTAAATGCAAGTCAGAAATGATAAGTTAAATAAAGATGCAGTAGTAAAAAACATGCAGTAAATATAAAAAAAAAAAAGCATGCAATAAGTTAGAAATATTAGAAGAGATCACACAAAAAGTAAAACCAAAAACTGCACAGTTAATAAAATAAATACATACATCAATAGAACTAGTAGAAAAAATTTTGCATTAATTAAAATTAGCATAATATCAAGACAACAAGAAAAATTCGAAAATCCAAGTTATATAAAATATTATCTAATAATGTAAATAAGTGAAATGAATAAAAACGCCATGCAATTAGTAGAATTACAAAATAGGCATGCATCAGCAGAAAGAAATAGTGCTATAAAAGCATGCAATAAGCTAGAAGCAACAAACGTAATAAATGCAAAACAATGCTAACAAAAAAGAGCTACCAATAGCAAGTGAAACCAACAAAAAAGGCGTGTAAGTAGTGGACTACAAAAAACATGGATCAAAGAATCAAAAAAGGCATGCAATTAGTAAAGTTAACAATTAATAAAGAACATGCAGTAAATTAAAAGTAATCAAAAGTGAGTGAAAAAATACTAACAAAAAGAAATTCGAAAACTAGAACTAATCGTAAATACGAATCAGAGTAACAAAAAAAGCATGCAAAGTAGTGAACTACAAAAAACATGCATTGAGTAAGTTGGAAGCAATCAAAAGTGTATGCAAAAACATTTTAACAAAATACTTGAAGACGGCAAATGATCCAAAACGTTATAAGGTATAAAAGCAAATAACACTAATAAAAAAACATGCAATTAGTGAAATTACAAAAACAACATGCATGAAAGAAACAAAAAAGGCATACAACAAGCTAGAAGCAACAAATGTAACAAATGAAAAGTAAGTGGGGTCAACAAAAAAAAGCATGCAATGAATAAAATAAAAAAATGCATACCAAACGAATAGAAAAAAAACGATAATCCAAAAAATTACACAGTAAGAATAAGTGAAAACATGCAGTTAATAAAATGTAAAAAAAGCATGAGTTAAATGGGATGGCAAAGTTCGCAAAAAGCATACGGTAGACTGGAATTAATCAAAAATACATGCAAAGAAAATTTAATCAAAAGTGTTTCGAAAGTAACAAATAAATTAAATTAACATACAATAATAATAAGTGGAGTTAATAAAAAAAAAAAGCGTGCAGTAAATTAAATGCAACCAAAAGTAATCACCAATAATGAAAGGAAATAGCATGAAATTGTTAATAAAAAAAAAAGGACGC